GGTTCTCTGTCACTGCTCGGTTTCTCTGCGTTTGAGGTTTCTTTTCCTTTTTTTTTCGGAGGTCTGTATAGAAATGGGAAAACTCCCTTTATCCGAAAGCCACACACAGGCTGCTCTGCCAGCACCGCGCTGTGTCAGCCTTACTGCACTTACAGAGAAACCAGGATTTTTATTTTTTTTTCCCTTTAAAGATTACCTAATCCAGACGGTAATCATCCCATCCCACTGCCTTATGCTTGTGCCCAGCAACACATTGCAGAGACTTTGACCCAGCCGAGGAGGCAAGATGTCCCCCCAGTTCCCCAGGAAATATTTCCACAATCAAGGATTTTTTTCCATTGGAAAAGCAACCTATTAGGGAACCTTTGGAAACTCGTCTAGTAAGTCAGTGGATTTTTTTCCATTAGAAAAAGTTGGGATTCAGTTCAGATCCAAATCCTGAGCTACATGTGCGGGGGAAACGGAGCAGCTGCAGAAGGTCTAAGCCAGTCTCTTGGTTCAGGAAAAAGGTGAGACCCATGCCCAGGCTGCCGGCAGTACTGTGAGCTGTTTAGCCATTGCATACCCCTGCCTGCAGAGACACAAATACTTGCTTCATAATTCCTGTGCGAGCTCTGGCAGAAAATTAAAGCCTTTTACTACAAAGGGCCTTTTGTGACGCTCCACCTGGCTGTTCTGTTCCCCACAGTTGCAGTCACCCTGCCTTTACTACACTCAAAGATTGCGATAGAAAGATGTGCTGGGTGTGGTAGGAGTGTGAGGGTAGGAAGCAGCTCCGCAGTTTTCCCACCCACACATAGCAACACACCTTGGCTAGAGACACAGGGGCTTAGTGCTCTTGGTGTTAACAGCAGAAAACCATGCCTGCTTTCAGTCCTTCCGCACTGGCAGGACTTGATGTGCTTTGCAAGCACTCAGGAATTCTGCAAATAGGTAGAATAAAACCATTAAACAGTGTGGGCAACATACAGATGAAACTTTTGTCCGGGACAAGCCTTTTGTTGTCTTACAAGAGATCCCACAGCACCTCTTGGTACACAGAGCTGGAACAGATGCACGGTTACGAAGTACGGGCATCACTCCACATTGAACCCAGAGCTGTAAGCTGCAGACGAGCTGGCAGATATGAGGATTAGTCGGCTGGGAAAAGCCTTTGAATCAACAAAGTTATAAGGCGTAGTTCAAACTTGTAAAGTTAGAGTTTGTTGGAGAGACTCTGGCACAGATGTTTGGAAATTCAAATTACGTTATTATAGTGGTCCTTGTAGCCTTCAGTGTGTAGACTGGCAGACACATCCAGTGTCAACAAGCTGCTTGAACTGCACTCCATGAATCTGTCACTCAGCACCTGGCCATTTCCACATGTGAGTAAAGAGGTGTCCTGAGTTTTTGAGAGCTGTTGGGTATGTGATGTCAGGGTGACAGCACGGGTGGCTGTTCAGAGGGACATCTGAATGGGTCCAAAGAGCAATAGAGGCACTGTTGATAGTCACATCAGTAATTTGCTATTTTATCTCCATGGTGGCCTCACAGGGTCTCTGGTCACTCTTTCGTGCCTTTCCCACCGGGTCGTGTGCCAGGTGATCGGTGATGCTGACCCAGCTGACTCTGTCCAGGACAATGGGACTTTGGATAACTCCTGGGTAACTCGGCTGGAAAGCAATTATGGATTCTACATTGGCCTGGGCTTGGCTGTCTTCTCCAGCTTCCTCATCGGAAGCAGCGTCATCCTCAAGAAGAAGGGGCTGCTACGGCTGGTGGAGAAGGGCGGCACCAGGGCAGGTAAGGCTTTCATGGGGGGCAGGAGGGAGGAGGTGCACCTGTTCCTAGGAACACACGCATCATCCAAACACCAGGAACTTCTATGGCAAGAGAACACCTCCAGCTACACATCAGCCTTCCATCAGCAATGGAAGACAGATCTTTTCTGCATGTATGTTTGTGTGCTGTGGTGGAGCTGAGGAGCTAATTTACAGAGCTCTGCATTGGAAAAGCTCAGCTAAAAGCAGCATTCCCCTGCCTTGCACCACAAATAGCAAGTCACGTGCTGTGTGATCAGATGTGCGCTCACCAGAAGAACAGTATGTGCCCATCACAGCTCTTGTGTGGAAAAGCGTGAGGCCAGGAGGAAACAAAGCGTTGAAAGCAATTTGAGACGTGCCCCTTTGCACTGAGGTGCAAGTCGTCCCTGTGCTGCAGACCGGAGCAGGACAGCACAGCTCCATGACCCTGCTCTTACTAATGCACCAGGCAGCTTTGCCACCAAGTCACTGAGACAAGGACACGGCCTCGTGTGCTCTAATTGCATTAGCAAGAGCACGACTGCACGGCTGCGATCTGTGTGAACTCTGCTTGTGGTTTTCAGAAGGGATGCTTCTGAGGTATGTTGCTCAACAATGTGTAGGTAACTTTCCTCTAGCACCAAGCTCGTAGGGTGAGGTGTGTGTTTACGTGCACGTCTGTATGGATGGGAAACGATGGAGGAGCACTGCCTACAGCGGAATTCCGCTGTGGAATTGGACACGTCCCATCAGCATTGCAAGCATTCGCTCTAGCAGCAGCGTAAGTCCTGCCTGGCAGGTGACCTACTTGCATAACTACAAAACAAAATAATGATAATTAAAACACTACTGCTTCCCAGCTCTGGCCTAGGAACAATTCTTAAATCATTTTACAAAAGAAGACAGTATCACTGTCCTCATTTTACTGCATCCCCATATGAGGGCACACAAGCATGGAATGATGAGGTGACTGGCTGGAGTCAATCACCAAAGTTACCAACAGCACCTGAGCCACAGTCCAGTCTCAAGTCCATCTCCATTCCCTGCCATTAGGCTGGCTGCGTGCGACTTCCGAACTCACATGGGTGTGTTTTCTCCTTAGCAGTATTGTTTCAATTGTAGAAGAGTTCTCTCTCCTCCTTCCCTCAATGAACTCCTCCCACCACAGAGCCCAGAGAGTGAAACGAGAGCAAAGCCTTCACTATTTTTCAGAGTGTTTAACCAGGAATTAGAGATTAATAACAGAAAACTGCAGCTGACAAAGAGCTCTTGAGAAAAAAAAAAAAAATCAACCAAAGAAAAACCAAAACAATCCAGCAATTTCTAAGGAATACCAAAGCATAACATTTGAACTTGAGCATTTGTGAACTTGAGGAACCAGAAGAGGCTAAGTTCTGACAAATTCCTGTCCGCCTCTTCATTCCTCCTTTCCTCATCTCGCCCGTTAATCTCTCGATGGCGTGTTTCACCTCTGCTCTCTGAGCACATCACTTTTCTCCAGGGCAGGTCAGACACTGCTGTTACTGACATCACCAGTCAGGTCAGACATCCAAACCATGGACTCTCTCTGACCCAGTAAAATCAGGGTTCACAGTGTCAGCAGGCTCAAGCTCCCTACATCTAACAGCTTGTGGGTTAAGACCAGAGCTGGATTAGTTCCCAACACAGCATGTCCATTCTTCCTCATTTATACACACATTTTCTTTCATTTAGTTGTTCCGATGCCAAGAACCATTTTTCATCAGAAAAGCTCAGTCACAGAATGACTGTTCCACACAAAGTCAACATTAGGATTTCTGGCAGTTCAGGCTGAGGCCCTGTGATACAACCATGATGCAAAGCAGTGTGTAAAAGGAGCAGACAGCTTCTGCAACGGGACGCAGGAAGCCTTCACCATCACTGTACGGCAACACGAACTAAGGCACCGCACGCCCACGCAGAGCAACCGACCGGTTTTTCCCCCTTCATCTTTCATAGCTATAACCCCCAACTGAGCTGGGTTTGGGAAAACTCATTGCCTTACCTTAGTGCCCATGTGCGGGACTCCACAGCAAGCTGGTGCAATGCGAGGAGAAGCGAAGGTTTCCTGCAGGCAAGATGCAGGGTAACAGCATCCCAGGGAGCAGCCTTTGGGTGGGGGGCACCCAGCACAGAGCAGCCCCCTGCCATCCTTCTTCCCTCTGCTCCAGGAGTGCCTCAGAGCAAACAGGCAAGTAGAACATACAAGACTAAACGTGACCGGTCTGTGGAACCCCAGCTAGAGTGTTTATTGCTGGCTTTAGGGGCCGATGCACCCTGACGAACCAGAGAGGATGACCACAGCTCCCAGGGCTGAAGGGCAGCCCCAAGCTCCATGCTGCACCCTGATAACCTCTGTGACTTTGGGGCAGCAGGTGCCGTTCCCAGTGCCACTCAGGATTAAACAACTGCTTTTATTGTACTTGCATTGTCCAGCCCTAAGTGCCATATTCCACTAATCCCCTGACTTGACATAATATCTATGTGGGATGAGATGTCTGCATATTCTGTCCTTCCAATTGTTTTCTTTGTCACTCTCTTCCCCTTGCCATTTATCACTCTCCAAAGGGACATTTCTCAGCTCTTACTCCAAAGAACAGGGTTGTTAACCCCTGCATACCTGTGTGCTTTGCTTCCCCAGGAGACGGAGGCCATGGCTACCTAAAGGACTGGCTCTGGTGGGCTGGCTTGTTAACCAGTAAGTAGAAGCTGTTTCCTTAAGTTTGCAGCTTTTCCAGGGTCTGTCCCTGTAAATCAGGTATGGAAAAGGTTATTCCAGGAAAGGTTACTGCTGCAGCACAAGGGAGATAAGAAGGAGGTGTTAGTAGCAGCCTCTTTCTTGAGCAAAACCTGTTTTCCCTTAGAGCAAGCCTTAAATCTTTTTCATTCTGCAATGTTACAGTATCTTCTCAAATTGGACTCACAGCTGTGCAGAGAGCAGCAGATTTCAGATCAGCCTCTTCTGGCTCTCCCTGCAGCAGCTCAAGGTGCTCCCACCTTGCTCTGCCCTTGTAGCTCCTGCTGCTGCACAGCCCAGAGGCAAGCACCCAACACCCAGGGACAAGGACAGCTCAGCCAGAGGGTAGCACCACAGCCCCAAGGAGACACTTCGTAGGTGAGGAGCAGCCTCCCAGCAGCTCCCACAGCTGCCCACCCACTCATTACCAAATCACCCAGACACACTGCAGCTGGGCTATGGGGGCTAAACAGGTTAACATGGGCAGCTGTGACATGGCCAAGCCCTGGCACCCCCCAGCTCTTCTCCATGTGGGTGCAGGGCTCTCTGCTTGCATTAATTTGTAATAGAGAGATTTTTCACCCACTATCCACCCCGTTTAGAAGCAGAATCAAACACCCATGGAATCAAACCCACCCACTCCTAACTGATGTCCTTCTAGTTTGCAAGCCCGCAAGAGAAAACACGAAAAGTGTGCTGTAACTCACTGGTATTTATTTTTCTTGTGTTTGTTTAGTGGGTGGAGGAGAAGCTGCCAACTTTGCCGCCTATGCCTTTGCTCCTGCAACAATTGTCACGCCTCTGGGGGCTCTGAGCGTGCTCATAAGGTGATTTATGTGTCTATAATTTGCCTTTTTTTATTTATCTGTTTGTCTTGTAAGATAGAAAGACTTGAAGTAATGCTAATATGGTTTATTCTGCCTGAAGGAAAAAAGTGGCTCAGTGTTTTCTAAAAAATGCTCTGACAGTTGCTGTTCTTTTGGGGGATCATTTGGAAACCACCAAATTCAGTAGCATGCCCTTCTGGAAGTGCTGCATGTGGGTAGCAGCCACATACGCTTCAGGTTAAATTATTGCAAATATCAGTGTTCCTTCCTTCCTTATTCCAGCTCTTCAGCCAATTCAAGGTTGTTTTTCGTTTTGCTTTGGTTTTGTAATAAACAGTACTAAAAATCTAAAAGGGTCAAAAATATCAGGTGTGTTTTTAAACTGTGTCATTCATTTGCCTTCTATTTTCTAAGCTTTTAAGGTGCTCTGATGTTGTGGTTTTATATTTCTGTCTGTTGCCAAAAGGGCTAAAACTCTATTTTATTTGTCTGTTTGTTTCTTTTAAAAAGGAGATGCATATCAAAATACATGACTCCGGGTACTGAAGGTTTTATAGAAGGAGCGTTTTTGTGAAATGCACAAGCACACTGAGAGTTAGGGCTGCTCTGGTGTCTTGGCCCAAATTTTTATGCACAACTAGGTATTTTTGCAGATACATCTGTAGCCCCAGTACCTTCAGAGTTTCTCTGGGGAGTAATAGTTCTGATGATTTAGTTAAAATTAATGTAACTCTTTTGTTGCTTGGTTGGGGTTTTGTCTGTGTTACACTGGTCCTTGCAGTCATTTCCTTGGGCACTAAAGGCTTCATAATGCCCAACAATTCGAGTGAATCTGAAGACCTTGAAAATATTTCTGAAGATGTGCTCACACATTCAGTATTTTTTCACCTTGCTGATACCTGAGCTGTGATCTACAGATCACACCTGCATCTCTGCAGGTTCAGCTGTCAGTAGATGCAATGTGATTGCGTAATAACACACTGGAATCCAACAAATATACTCCAAATTTGTATCATGTGAAGACGTTCTTTACCTTATTTTAGCTGCTGTTCTTTCTTTAAAGGACTTTAAAGCACCAGCTGATGTTTTTCTGTCCTGTGCAGTGCCATCCTGTCTTCATATTTGCTTGAAGAACGGCTCAACCTGCTGGGAAAGCTGGGCTGCATGCTGAGCCTTGTGGGCAGCACTGTGATGGTGATACATGCCCCAGAGGACGAGGAGGTCACCACTCTGGATGAAATGTTGTCCAAGCTGAAAGAGCCAGGTACACAGGAGGTCGTGTTTTGTCTCTTGGGGCTGGGTAGTGTGTTTTGCTCTGTCCCCCACACCTGCCACTCAGTTTTGAGTTATTTCTCTCCCTCTTCCAGGTTTCCTGGCTTATGCTGCAATCCTCTTGGCTGTTTGCTTCCTCTTGATCTTCTACCTCGCACCCCGCTATGGCCAGAGCAACATCCTCATCTACCTCACCATCTGCTCCGTTATTGGAGCCTTCTCTGTGTCCTCAGTCAAGGGCCTGGGTATTGCCATCAAGGGCTTCTTTGCTGGCCGGCCTGTGCTGCAGCACCCGTTGACATGGATCCTAGTCACCACACTGGTGGCATCCATCACTACACAAGTTAACTACCTCAACAAGTCTCTAGACATTTTCAACACCTCTTTGGTGTTTCCCATCTACTACGTGCTGTTCACCACCATCGTCATCACAACTTCCATTATCCTCTTTAAGGAGTGGGTCACCATGACCGTAGTGGACATAATTGGGACAGTTTGCGGCTTCCTCACTATCATTTTGGGGGTGTTTTTACTCCATGCCTTCAAAGACATGGATGTTAGTTTAGGAAATCTACCACAAGTCCTCCAGAGTGGACAGCAAGCACCAGTCACCCGAGATGACAAGAACATCCTGATAGAAGTGGACAACTCCAGCATCACCCCAGAGGATAAACCCAAAGTATTCATGATCTGCACCTAGCATGCTACATGCAAGGGTCTGGAGGTTGGGTGGATGGGTAGATGTCAATATTCCAGATGCTAGTGAGCAATTTGAAAAAGGAAAAGCGGAAAATAAAACCAACAGTGTCTTATCCAAAGCTTGGTAGAGTCAAGCCAAGTCTTCCTCTGGGCTTTTGGATTGGATCTTTGCCATGGTGTGGCAGCAAGGGGTGCGTTTAATCCTCACTGGGCTTTAATACATGCAGCCACTGAAAATGAAAATCCCCTTAAAATATGATACTCCTGGGACAAAGCTCTTCTCTGAGGCCTCTTCCCATCTCTTATTCTTGGCAGGGCTAATGTTTGCTCTTGCAGTCCTTCCCCTAGGTGACCGTTGATGTATTTATTTCCAGGCCCTGACTGAGTCATTGATTAGTGTTTTCTGTCTTTTCTCCCTTTCTAGACGCTTGCATGAACAAAATACACACCAGTATCTCAGAGGTGAGAGACAAGGACTGAATGGTGCCCGCCTGCTATTCAGACTCTGCTCATCCATGTTTAATTACTTGCTCTGCAAATATGGGACAAGAATATTGGTGAATATAGGCAAAACATGGCAAATACGGGAATAGGCGCTCCCTTAGGCTCAGTGCCAGGACCCAAACCATGAAGTGTTTTCACAGGACTGTGGCCAAGAAGTCTTTTCAGCTTTTGTTTTTTGTGGGGTGCAGGAGTTTCCTTGCAGCACAGTGTTAATCATGTGGGGTTTTATTTGTCTGGGTTTTTTTTTCCTTAGCACCTATGATGCCCAGGCCACGTTGATGTGATTGGTGAAGCCGCTGGACCTGATCCAGACCTCGCTCAAGCAAGGAGCAGCTCCCCACTCAGGCTGGGGAGCTCTGGCACGTTAAACTCCATGTCAGGAGAAACACCAACATCATCTTCAAGACTTTTTGTGGTCTGTGAAAATCTTTTCAGCCTAAAAGATCTGTAAATTTTAAGTATTTTTTCCTTAGGAAATGTCTTGACCTTGGAGAGCCTCCCAACTGTTTGAGCCCCATGACCTGTCCTGCTATCGTTTAAGCCAAAAAGCTTTTATTTCTTCTTTTTTGTTGTTTAGAGGGAGGTCTGAGCTGCATGCTAAAAGCCAAACAGTCATAAGTGGGTGATGCTCAGCACAGCTATAGGGATGCAGTTTATCCCAGAGTGGTCCTGTTCACCCGTCTCCATCCCTCTCAGTATAGTATGGATGTTACCTGGACTCTTGCTCACGGCTCACCTTCAAAACCCCCTTGGATTTGTATGTCATGAGGATGAAGGGATGACAGAAATAACGTTTTGAGCTGGAAGGTAGAAAAGGAAGGTGTTACTGCAGTTAAAAGTTTCTGCCATCTTGCTGCTGGGTCTTAGAGTACAGGGGCACTGGACCCCATTTTCTCACAGCAAATCCCAAAAAGGGAGCAGGGAAGCCTAAGACAGCGTTGCCAAGCTGGCTCGGTCCGGAGGCAGCTCTGGATGGGTTAGCCCTGGACCACAGCACACACTGATATCATCTGAGATGCTGACCAGGTTATACCGAGATCTGAGCATCACTGAGCACATGCAACTTGGGGTTGGGGGGAAAGGAATATGCAATCTTTTATTTTAATAACATTTCAGTACTTTTTTTTTTTGAATGTGGAAAGGGAAATAAAGTCTTTTTATAAAAAAAAAAAACCAAAACCACACCCTTGCAGGTAGATCTGGAAGTTTTTAATGATTTCTCTGATCTTATTGATGTAGCCCTAAAGGATAAACAGGCTGAAGGACAGCGAGTACAGCAGAAAGAGCATCTGGGTCAAAGAGTAAACCAGCAGCGACCTCCTTTGGTAGCAAAAAATAATCCAATTCACTCTAGCTTTGGTTTTGGCATCCTAATTGGTGTAATGCTTTATGCATTTTATTTTAGAAAGAGATCGTAACCAGGACTTATCATTCTCACTGTGTAGAACTGCATTTCATAAAAGCCATTCCTCCAGCTATCCTGCCATCTCTGGACAAATTCCACATATAAAATGAAAATTTGAACCCAGGTAACGAAATAGCACACAGTGACAAAATATAAACCAGTTAATGACGACTGACAAGTTTATTAAAACTAGGCAAAAGGCACAATGAATTGCATTCTTCAAGTATTTGCATAGATGCACAGAGAGCATTATTGTAAACCATTAATGTGGACACAGGAGAAAGTGAGATGTATTTTGGTATATGTTCTCCCAAGTAACATTATCTTTCAAGAAAATCAGATTTTACCACCTTTTACTCCTCCTGCAGTTTCCCCTATTGTCATTCACTCAACTTGCACACGTATGAAAATTTTAAAAAGACTTACTTAAAACTACCTTTTGGAGATTTTATGATGCTCCAGCAATAAAGTTTTCCATTAGGGTTTGAGCACGTCCAGTTGTTCTCTGAGCTTGTGAATCTGGGGGGAATTTTTTAAAAGCTTGATCCGATGCTCACATGAAATGCAGTGAAAATATTCTTAGTGCTTTTTGATGTCCATTTGATAAGGATCAGGGGTTGTAGCAGAAGCACGCTGCTGTCTTCAGTGAGGGCTCAGACAGAAGATCAAGTTCTCGTGGTTGGATCTGTGCTACTACAGTGTATGTACAGTATGTGTCCAGCTTACTGCTCCACCTGTGAGCCGTAAATATGCCATTACATAGGCACAGTAGCCTATAGCTGCATCCCAAAGAAACAATAAATCTGGGGATTGTTTAAATATATAAGTTGTTTATATGTAATATACCCCAACTATAGAAAAAGACATAGAAAATTAGAAAGCTGATGTCTTTCACTTGGCATCCCTTATTTGAGAGAAATTTTCCAAGTATATAGAAGGTAAGAAAAGGTCCAAAATGATCAAGATAAAGAATAATCAACCAGAAATTCAAGACACGCCCTGTGTACTGTTTTCTTGTGGAGAAAGAGGTAGTAAAGTTGCAAAAACTAATGTGGTTTAAGTCATTCTACAGATACACTGCTACATATAACTACAAATGTAATGAGTGCTCAGGGTTTAACTGTTTGTTTGGTTTTGTTTTCAATCAGTAGACCTTAGGGAAAAGGAACCATTAGACAAGACTTTTTTTCTTTACACCAATAATATACTTTACACATGTCCAGCAGCAATCACACTGTTTGAGGATTTATGATAACAATCAGGCAACGGAATTATTACTGTAACCATAGCTCCAGAATTCCCTGTGTTCTCCTAGGAAATAATTTCAAGGAAAAAAAAAGAAAAAAATTTGGCATAACAAAAGGTCATAATTTAAAATCCTGAGAAAAAAAACGTACAAAAGCATAAACCATTAGGAGAAAAAAAAAAAAAATTCTTAAGGGAGAGTTCTCAGGGTCAGAACCATCAGCTGCTTAAAGTGCACACAGACAGCTCTCCCCATCCACATCCTGGAGAAAAAATGTGAGTAAATGAGCTGCCTGACAAAAGCACCATGTGTTGCATTAATATTTCTGCTGGTTTACCACCTGGGCAATTTTCAGATAGGTTTCTCACTGGTGTGGGGAGCAGACACCCTGTGTTGAATTGCTGCTCAACACAGACTGAAGCCTGAGGAGACACGTCCAAAAGTGCCTACTGATTACCCACAGTACCGTATGCTGGAGAGGAGGTTTCAGCACTGCCTTTTGCTGACCTTCCTTCTGGGCAGTTACGCTGCATCTTGGCCAGAGAGTTTCCCTGTCGTACCTTGACCGTGTCCCAGTGACACGGGTGAGAGGGCACAGACCGCGCTGGGGACGCTGCCAGGTCTTACAGCACTGGGGCAGGACAAGTGAGTGCTGGAGGACAGGCAGGTTGCAACGCTCTTGCTGAAGATGGTTATATGGGAAAAATAATTAAGCCGCTCTGATAAAGCTAACCAAAATGCACAGTGACCCACAAATTATTTTAGCCAGGAATATTTCCATTGTTTGCTCCCTGTTGTGGCCCCACTCGCCACCCACTGTAAACTGAGAATAAGCTGAGGAATGTTATCAACGGCTGCCTTCTGCTCTCCCGAGAGGCAATGGTTTCTGTATAGCACCAACGAATGCTCCTGCAGCTGCATGGATGGGCTGAGGAAGCCAACAGTGCTGAGTCGTACATGAAAGCCCATCAGGGCCAGCACCTGCACTCGCAGCTTGTTCTCCCTGGTAACACTTAAATAACTCATTAAAAACATGTGAAACCCCCATTACCCCATCCCTGCATTGGATATTGCACAATAATATTTAAATACCGTATAAACAAGTCATCCCTATATGGAAAAGGCTATCAGCAGAGAGAGTTGAGTTCAGCTTGGCAGGTACCGGTGTAGTTCCTGGGCACACTCCTGCCAAGCCTGACCACAGCTTCTTGAGTCACATAAGAAACAGGTGAGGCTAGAGGAGAGGAACCGAGACACTGTCTGTGGCTATGAATGGTTTTTTTGGGTGTTGAAGGCCATCCAGTCCCCTGTGAAGGTCAGAGCCAGCTGGGAACAGACTGCTTCATGAGTGCCCACGGAAGCCCGGCTGCCCCACTTTCAAGACATTCACTGCTCCAGCCGTCCCAACAGCAGTATTCTGGGTGAGATGGAAAATGGGGAAAAGAGAGAGGGGTCAGTGCTGACGAAAGAGCACACTCTGCCCTCTCCTCCTCCCAGAGCTGATGTTATAGTGGGCCAGGGGAAGCCTGTCCCCATTCACATGCATTCACACCCTAATTCATCAGGTAGGAAACCCTCACACCAGTAGCACAATGAAGTTTATGCAGATTTTTTTTGTTTTTTTTCAGGTGACCTCAAATACATTGTTGGCTGGAGGCAGCACCTGTGGTGCACGGAGTGCAGGTGTTTTGTGTTAAGGTGTCCAGCTTGCAGGGACCCGAGCTCTGCGACTCAAAGTCCCTTATTAAGGACACTTTTGGGAAACACTCCCTGCAGAGAAAGCCTCTCCTTTGCCATGGCTAAAGAGGCTGGAGAAGGTTTCTCTTCCGCACTGTGATCCTCAAGTCTTGTGTGGACCTTCCTGTTTTGCTGCTCTTCGCTAACCATTCTGGGTCACACACCCCCTCATTGCTCAGCCCCACTCACACAAACATTTTACCTGAGGAAGCACTCAGGGATGTGGAAGACTGAATTAACTGTTTGGCTTAACTAGTAAATGCTGAATAAGAAACGGGTGAAAACAGATGTCCCTGCAATAAAGGCAACCAACCCGCCAGCCTCTCTGTTTCCACCCATTGGGTCTGTGCATGAAGGCGTTTTGCCATATGATGGCAAGGTTACTCCCTTCAGAGTCGTTTTATTCCCTGGGGTGAGGGCACACTGCCAAGTTTCCCATCGCAGTGCTCGGTGCCTACCTCTGTCTCAGGCTGGAGTCGTCCCGGGGTTCTGAGGTGCGCAGGAGGCAGTGGGATGGCAGGGCTGTTCCCTGGCCGGGCTCTGGGTCTGGCTGGGACGGGATTAGCTGGCAAAGCTCTTTGGGGTGGCCGGGGCCTGGAAATATCCTGCCCAAGAAAGAAACAATTTTGAGGTGCCTGGCCTGAAAACAGAGATAGTATTTCTGATTTTTTGTAAGTCTGAGACAGCAGATTGGGTGTGCAACTGCACACCTCGATGTCTCTGGTTTGGAGTTAGCCCCAGGGATATTACAATCTAATGGCTGTATGATGAAAAACAGGAGAAACTTTACAGACTGGGCAGGAGCCTCCATCACATCTCAGCCTGTAGCATCCCTGCCTGAGACAAAGGATTGAAGGGATACAGGTAAAGCCATGCTTACAAAGACCTCTTCCTCTCTGAAGCAAGGAGGGAGTGCTGGTGGCTGCTGCTATTACTTGCCGTATTATGTGGGTCACTAGTGGTTTTCAATATGTAGGGTTTTTCACCTATTAAGTTTCAAGATAACTGGCTTTAGGCTGCTGGGCAGCTGGCTTCAAATCGAGGACAACCAAACAGGGTAACAGGGTTACCTTGCTCTGCTGCCTAAATGGAGCTGTGGGCTGAAAGCACGTTATATTCTGGCTACTAGAAGATACAGACATTTTAAGCCTTGAATTTTGCAAGTAATAGGGAAGCTATGTTCCAGAGCCTTTTAATTAGCCCTATTATTGATGCACTTAAGGTTGGAAGCAAGTTTCACCCACAATCATTATATAATTGCCCATATAATGCCTGTAAACCTTCCATACATAGAATCATAGAATGGTTTAGATTGGAAGGGACCTCAGAGATCATCTAGTTCCACCCCCCCTGCCATTGGCAGGGACATCTTCCACTCGCAGGTTGCTCAAAGCCTCATCCAGTCTGGCCTTGAATACTTCCAGGGATGGAGCAGCCACAACTTCTCTGGGCAACCTGTTCAGTGCCTCATCACCCTCAGAGGGAAGAAACTATGTATATACGTGTGCCCATACAAACAAACGCAGCCCTGCACCCACCTACAGGCAGTTATTACTTTGTTTGTGCACACAGCTGTCCCTAAGAGGATACTCAGAGCATTATATTTTCCATTCATCTAACGAATTTCAGTGTAAAGCACGCCCCTGGGAGAAGTTACCCACACAAGGGCTAACTGCCTGCTGTTGCTTGGGCTCTGTGCTAAGTCGCTGGCTTACAGGTGTTGATTCAATAAACACAGCTGCACTCACAACTTGAAGGGCACCCAAAACCCCCACAGTCTCCTTAGACCATGCACAAATGTGATGCTCAACGGCTGCATCAGCCGATGCTTGGGGATCTATTGCTCTCCAAGGACCTGTGACTGCAGGAAGGACGAAGCAGACTAAATCCCACCAACCAGCGGGTCCAAAGAGCTCCTACAGGAATAGCAAGAGAGCAAATCCGGCAGATACTGCAAACATCTAGGAAGGACACTGACACTAGTAAACAGTGAAATTAATGACTTCCCTTGTACATTCTACATCTTGTGGCTCTCCTCCAACCCAGAAATGGCAAGGTTTCTTTTGGAAATCCCAGGAAAAGTGTCCCATCTAGTAGGTCTGACTGATATAAAGAGACTGGATGCATTGAGGGGGAATCTGATGGAGATTGTGCGGAACGTGTCAACAACCAGCTGGGAAGGATACCTATTCCTTATTGACTACAGTCAGCTTCCTGCTTTTGTTTTAGTTTTCTTTCCTGCTCAAGTGCCAGCTGTTCACAGGAACAATGGAGCTAGAAACAAATCTCATCCACTAATATATTTTAGTTTTGTTTTCCTCTATATCCTTCAGGAAAAGACTGCCTGGGAGTCAGTCTCCTGCTATCCCCCATCACTGAGCCCTTTGCTCCTTTGCTGGCCCTAACCTAATAAAGCTAGTAGAGAAATATTCTGGTAAAACAAGGTTAAGTCAGTCTGAGTGATTGGTCATCTTTTCTATAAGAATGTGGGGTCTGTACTAAGCTTAGAACAAAATTGCCAGCAAGAGAAGTAAATCAATACCCTTTCCTTATAACCCTCAAAATAACCTCGTGGCTAGGATGTTCCCATAACATGGGATCAGTCTGAGATAAATCTACTGCTTCCTGTGCAACATGCTAAAGGTCTCATTCCTTTTGTCTGAGGCTCTCCAGGCTTTAGTCCAGGAATGGCCAAATGCGAGATACATGGGGGATCATCCCAAGGGACGGAGATCCTGTACTCAGCACTGAACCTCAGACTTATCACTGACTGCTCATCTCAGAGGGCTTTGCTTCCAGGTAATGAAATACATGCAAATGGTAAGAGGAGCTTTGCTAGGCTTGCTTAGTGAAAAATCTGTACAGCCCTTTTGCTCCTGGAAAATCATTTATTTGATTTGCAGCTAAAAAATGTTTAGATGACCTTAGTAAAGTGAATGCTGCTGTGTGATCCAGGCTCTGACTCCTGGTCAGAGGCATCGGGGGACCTGAACAAAGAGTAATTGTCCATGATAGTGTCCAGCACGGTCATTTGCCACACTACAAAGCCAGAAGGACCACTGGTAATGGTGCTGTGGCAAGATGGAGCACACACTGGTGAGCACGGCGACTCCTACACCCCTGACGGGGTGAGAGAGGCTGCCCCAGCCTCACTGGGAACAAACCTCCCATCAAACCATACCTGTAGGATGACAGCGTGACTCCATACCTGAGAGACAGGGGGTCTGGGAGCCGGAGGCACTGGCCTGCTTGGGGGTATCCACCGGGCAGCATCTTTTGCGGGTGCGGGCTGTGCCAGCCTGGCGGGCTGCCCCGTGCCGCAGCCGTAGCCCGTGGAGAAGGCAGGTGGGTGCTGCGTGTTCATTTGGAGGGCTGGAGTTTGCTGGGGAGGAGGTTTTGCTGGGATTTCCGGGAAGCCAATCACCTGCGCAGAAGACCCACAAATCCCAGGAGTTAGGTATTTCCACTTCAAACCACCTTTTTACTCTCTGCTACGCTTTTGAGAATCTTCATGAGGTCTTTGAGTCACACAGTAGAAAGCATTGTATGCAACACCTGTATGTGTTACACACGTCTAGCAGGCGTTGATTAGACAGACTGGGATAATTTGGGATCATGAAGTAGAAACCGGAATCAAGAGTAACAGAGAAACTCAGGCATTAGTGTTATAAGTAACACTTCCAAATAAATCCAGTGTTTGCAATTTCTAAGTTCTGAGAAGGGGATGTGACAGAAGAGGATCTGTCAGGAGAGACAAGCAGCCACACAGGCCTGGTCAAATCCCAGCTCCTACCATTAAGAAAATGGCTAGAAATAGATGCTACATCCAGCTCCCGCTGACTTTCAGCCATGGGGGCTGTCTATTTTTCCCATCCTTTGATAAATCCACCCCCTGGATTGCAGTGTCAGAGGGAACCACATCCCACATCTTAGGGCAGCTGCATGTCTCCCCAGGGAGGTGGACGGTGACCGTGCCCCTACCTTCCTCTGCTCCTGAGGAGTTTTCAACTTGAAGGCAGGGTTTGCGTGCCCATTTCCAGAGCTGTCGCTGACAATGAGAGAAAGAAAAGAATAAGTATTATTTCCTTTCTTTTTCTTTGCTGTATTTTCCATTCTATTTTAACTGAAGTCAAAAAATGAGAAGCAAATACTGACTATACCAACAAATCCATTTAGTTATATTCCTCACAACCTTTGCCATTTCTTTTCTGTCCTGACACTGAAAAGGAGTGGGTGGAAGCAGACAAGGCACAGCACTGACTATTTACCTGAACTGAGGGGTCTTCTTTAGAGAACAGATGCCAAATTTATTCCAGCATTTCAGATAATAGAATAAAAACATGATTCCAATGAGGAGGAGAATGGGAGCCAGGATTGCCAGAGTTATCACAACCACTGACGGGCCTGAGGACAAGAAAGTAGAGTTGTTAGTTCAATAGAAAACTCTGCTCCTGATCTAACTCAAGTCCTTCCGAAGAGCCACCATAGTAGAGTTGGTCCCACTCACCTTCGGGCATGGGGGGACCACTATCCAAGCTTCCTCCCCTTCCCTGCTTGTTGCAAAATGGAGGGGCCCATCCCTGGTTGCAGTGGCAGTTCTTGTTGTTATTGCAGACCTGGAGCAGGAAGACTCAGAGACTTTAGTGCCAGCTCGTAAAGAATCTACAAACTAAAAAACATGAAGCCCTTGCTGGGTAAAACACTATGGAAGAAACTCTTACTACCATAAATAGGGAGTTAAGTGCCTGGAAACATTTTCTTTTCAGGGAGTGAAAGTGCCCTTTATTTCCTGAGAAATTTTCCTTTTCTCCAAAAGACAAGGGCTCTTCAGCTGAAGTGCCACTAACGTGGATTCCGGAGAAAAAGCAGCATTTAGAAATTCCTTTCTCTTGTTCTTATCTCTAAACTGAAGGACAGGAGTCTTCCCTTTCATCCAGTGAAGATTCCTCACTGTTTAGGTTTATTGCTTGGCCCATCACTATTTGTTTTCTAGGCAGCCCCTTGAAGAGGGGCTGATCCCTCTGATTAGGGGTGTCCTGTGCTAATTGTAGTGTTTAATTTGATTCTGTGGAATAGCTGGCAATCAGTTCCTATCAGCCTCATGCATCATAAGAAATGAAGCAAACTGGGAGTGAAAGAGCAGCGTGAGCCTCTCTCCTTGTAGGTTCATCATGGGGCTTCTCAAGCTGCTCAGGGAGGCGCACACTGCTTCACGCTGCTGGATTTATCGCTCCTCTCCATTGCCTAACTGGACCGTAGGGATGAAGAGATGCGAATGTTTTGTGTCAGAAACATCAGCAAAAGGTATAAAAATTTTTCACCAGCCTTTTCTTTCCATCCCTGGAGGCATAGCAGAGCACAGTTTGGGATAAACTGTTCTAAATATGACTTTTTACTATGTTTTTCCCTCAGTAAGTGTGATTTTTTTTTTTATTCAACCTAAACTGGGCCCAGAATATTTTTCTGTAAGATTACCCCTTCTTCTTTTTCATTCATTGCAATTCATATCCCTCCTGTAGACCTCAAATCCTACATCAAAGGGACACTCAATGGATCAGAAAATTCATCAAACATGAAAGGAATGTGCAAATTAATAATCAAGAAGCAGAAGTCCAGAGCGTATCTAAGCATGGTATCAGAACTGAGCTGAACGACTACCCACAGATGAATGGCAGCCCATCCTGCTTCATCTGAAACGGAGATGAAAAGGAAGACACCTACTCCATGCCCGTGGCACTTCTTGCTACAGCTTTCAGAATCAAAGATGATGGATGTGTTCTGGCAGCGTCCCTCAAAGCAAACCTGCAGAGAAAGGATCCAAAAGCTCAGTGTTAGCTCTGTGGGTTATGTACCATATTACTGCCTCACGTTACTTTGTGACTTGCGAGGTCCCACACACCTTGGCAATACAAGTAATAGCATGGACAGAACAACATTCCTGACTCCCAAGCAAACATTTAATCACTACCCTAAACCCCAGCTAACACACCTCAGCAAGCTCAGAAGTCAATAGCTTGGCCATGTCCATGTGGCAAATCTGTGGAGGAGCTCTCAGGTGTCTTGATTTCTAATTGTGTGTCTCACCTCTAAGCAAGACAATATCAGTCAGCTAGTGAATCCCAAATGTAGCACTGGCCCTGGCATCTGGCAAAGGCTGAAGGTATGGCCTTCGGTGCGTATTTTTCCATTGCTTCTCAAGAGCCTCTAAGAAATTATGTTTTTAACAAACAGAAAAAATTCCCTAGAAAGGCATTAGACATAAGAAATGAATGGCTTGATAACCACAAAGCACTTTCTAGATGGAAAAGCGATACCCGGAACTTCCCCCAAGCCGTTACAGGCAGGACTGTACGTACATGATGGCTCCCACATTTTGTTCCCGTCAACACCAATCCAGGATCCAGCATCTCCTTTTCTTCACTCTCAGATCTGTACACATGGGTCCCTCGGCACCTCAGCTGTGTCCTCTGTGTGTGGATAGTTGTGTCTATGGCCACTGCGTTGGACTGCAAGGGTTTGGAAGCAGAGCTCTGGCACTGGATCTTCCCACATTTAGCATCTCTGATTTCAAAGGAAAGGCTAAAGTGATTATTTCTGGCTTGCTGCATGTTTCACAGGCATCAGCTCTACAAGTAAATTAAAGCAGCAGTGTTGAGTCATTGTTCAATGACAAAAGATCAAGCACCATCGAAGAGCTAGCCCAAGCAACAGTGTCTGATGGGTACTGATGGTACCATGTCACAGTCCCCATGAGTAGGCCAGCCCCAACAAAATCACAGATAAGACAAAGAAGTTTTTGTCTCAGTTAAAAGGCTACATTTTAGCTTCTGGATTTGAAAATCTTCTCTCCTATTGCTTTGAAAAAAATCAACTAGATGTTTTAAAATGCAAAAGGTAGGGAAAACAGTAAACTTAAAAGCTTCAGTTGTAAGGACTCAAAGTCCAACAAGGATGCAGGTGGTTTCCCAGAAGGCAGAGACAGGGAGTGAAACCAAAGCATGGATCAGCTTTATCTACTGACCCATAATTTTGTAATATATAAAGACATCTCCAAAAAGCAACTCTTGGCTGCCACTCTGCTTTCTACCTCATCTCACACTTCCTGTAGTTGCCGTAGATGTCCTTCCCACAGTTCCCGTAGATGTCTCCAGCAGCATTAACCTTCTCGAAGCAGGCATCTGGTGCTGGCCTTGCTCCTGCGTGGAAGAGACTCATGTAGCTGGTTCCTGTGGAGCCCTGCAGCCCATCTCACCCCATGCCAACCACTTTTTTGTTCTTTTTCTGGGATGGTTTTGAACATGGGAAATTTTTGCTGCCTCCTCCAAGTGAGCAAGGCAGGAGAAAAGGCTCCTCAGACTTTGCCACTGATAACAGGTATGGAAAGTACTACTGCCTACTACAGACAATGTATTTCACTGCAAGTGGTGTCCTTACCAGGCCCCCATAGCTGCAAGCACTGGTCTTTGTATGTGAGACACATGCCGCTGTAGCAATAGGCCTTTCCTCCGTCGCAGGAAGCCCCATCGATTTGGTAAGAGTTGGGGGGGCAAAACGGTGACTCGCCAGTGCAGTATTCTGGGAGGTCACAGAGTCCTGATCTTTCCCTGCAGGGAGTTCCCGGAGACATGAGCTAAAAAGATACAAAGGGAAAAAAAAAGAATTATTGCTTGGCTCCTTTGTGGTTTCGTGTCTGCACAATGTCTCTCTGCAGATAAGAAAAAATCTTGCATGCATCTCTTCATCCACCCTGTCTTAAGTTTTTTGAGGTCAGCTGTGATCCAAATGACTCTGTATCTTCATTAACTGCATGAGCTGTGTAGAATCAAATTAATGGCTGGATCCCTTCCCTAGGTAGCAATGAGATCATGCACAGAAAATAAAGCTGCCAGGTCTCAAGGGGACATGAATTCATCTCCCTCAACCCTAGGGCAGGATCTGATTTACCTAAACAATTTCTGACAGACGTTTGTGCAATCTATTCTCAAAACCCTCCCTGTTTGGGAAGTTTTTTTCAATGTTTGCCTGTCATTTCTGCTGGAGACATTTTCCTAATGCATAACTTATGTCTCCCTTGCTTACAAGTTTACCCAGTTCATTCTTGTCCTGTCCACCATGGACACGGAGAACAGACGGGCACACAGTTACGTCTAGGAGGCTTTTCCAAGTCTCTTGTGAAAGGACTGAGTCCAGCTGGATTCCTGGAAAAATATTTTCCACATGCTCAGGTTATGTCAGTAAGAGCACGCAGTCAATGTACAAACACAAAAATGAGCTTAAGAGAAATGTTTGTTTGCCTATGTTCATTTTTGAGATAGTTTGTTGTCTAGTTTGATTGCACTCGTAGCTGTTGTAACTAAAAATCAGACCATGTTCCTTGCATGTTCCATGTTCCATGCAGATGAGGAGCTGAACTCCGTGCTTGGCTGTGTTTGCTCCCTTCTCCCCTCCATTTTTCAGCCTCACACTTCCACCACCGTTAATCTCTCCTCTTTTATGAAAACCCAGAGATCCCACCTTGCACTGATGACAGCAGCTGCCGTGGGCACATTCGGCACCCAGCTTCAGGGAGCAGGTGCTGGCATTGCAGCAGGGGTTATGCCTGGAAGACAACGAGATGCAGCAGAGTTTACAAGGCAGATGTTCAAGACAAGAATGTGCCAGAGCACCAATGCGTGAGGCTGACACTAATCTGTTCTCGTGCACGATGAATTACAGGTGAACAGAGGAACAGCCTTCCTTCCGCCATACGTTCATGATACCCAGCACGTGCTGAATTACAATGTTCAAGACAAGAATGTGCCAGAGCACCAATGCGTGAGGCTGACACTAATCTGTTCTCGTGCACGATGAATTACAGGTGAACAGAGGAACAGCCTTCCTTCCGCAATATGTTCATGATACCCAGCACGTGCTGAATTACAGGACTGCGTAATTGTATCCTATGTTGGACTGACTGGCTACTATAGGTTGTGCTCACTACATCTGGTGAGCCTGCGCTGCTGATTCCAGCTCCCTTTTGTCTTATCAGTCAAAGTATGGATTTGGAGAAGTGAGACACGGTGTTAAGTGAAGCCTCATCGTTACCAAGAATGGAGCCATAGGTAAAGTGAACTTATATATGAAATTGCAACATCTAAGATCACTTTTACTGTTCTTTTTTCAAATGAAGTTTTCATCACCTCTGTTCAACCACGCATTACACCATCCCTGAGTTCCGGGACGCAGTGTACTGCATACTATGAATTTAGTTAGACATGATGCTTTACAACCTTGATTTATACTGCATATACATTTTCATACAGCGAAGGCAGGCATATCTCCTGCACAAACAGAAGCTGTTTACATATCACATAACTGTAGTTGCAAAATAGATAATAAAATCATTGCGTCCCACTAAACCCCAAATGATTGGATCTGAACAATTTTTACCTCCACCTCTCCACAGTCACACTCCTCCCCCTCTTCCAAGTAGCCATTTCCACATTTCTTCCCACCATACATTTTTCTGGTATCCGGCATATTGGAGAGACACATCCCTCCACCAGACTGCAGATACTTCTCCAGCTCTTTTCTATTGCACTCGTTGAACACCTTGGGGAACGGGTGCCTGAATATGGACAGTGTAGAAAAACATCATGACAGATCTGGGAAATGGTTTAGAGAACCAGAAATGAGCATGTGCAAATCCTGACAAGCCTCAAAGGACACAGGTCCTTCTCTGAAGTCTCTGAAATTGTGAAAAACTGGATCGGTATTTCGCGCGCGCACGTGTGTGTGTGTGTGTTCAAAATCAGATCCATATGGATCACATTAGAAAATAAGGTGATTGCACTGCAAGACTGTCTAGTAATATAATGGCCTTAAAAACAAAAACACTTTACTAAAACAAAATGTGTTGAGTTAGACTTGACTTTGCCAGCTGACAAGCATGGCTGTCCTTACCTGCCCAATGCTGAAGCTGTGGCTTATTCCTAACTCTGCTTGAATAAGCCTAAGAATCCAGCACCTAGACTGTGAATAACTGCTTGTGAATTTAACTGATATAAATAACATTTCCTTTTTCCTACCTACTGCCTCATTGCAAAGGACATGAATATTTTCTGTTACATGAATTATTAATTTCTGTTGCTGCAGGGCTTGAGCCTATGCACTCTATTCATCACCATGCTTGTGTGAGTACATGTTGTGTATTGCACGTTCTACGTGCGTGACAATATATTTCCACTTCTTACCTAAATGGTTTTCCTTAGTTGGAGGAAATCATTCACATAAAAGAAGATATCTAATGGAGACAATTTTGTTTAAAAACTGCGAAACCACAAGGAGCAAGGCTTGAAGAAACAGGGAATGTGGCTTTAAGTGAGTGGGTTCAGCTGACATATTTACGTGACTGAAATATGGAAGCTGTTGTGGTTCATCATCCAAAACAAGATCTGGAATCTCTGTGGGTTTCCAGAGTCACTCTTTCTTCCCCTTTCTCTTAAAGCCAGTTATTTCTTCCCTTTTAAACACAGGCTTTCTGTGGCTCACTGAAACCAAACAGCATTCGTAAGACATCAAGCAGTTGATCTGTTTTCATGTCTTCCAACACAGAAATATAATTCTACTGCTGTGCTTTTTAATAAAACCAGTTTTTTCCTGAAGCAATCCTTTTTCCTCTCTTTGCCACATTGTAACACACATTATCTTTCGCATGAGATGCTTTAGAAACCCTATCAATTATCTGTCTATGTATCCTGTGTGCAACACAGACATGAAACCCACATAAACTTCTACATGCCAAGGTTCCACGCCTTCTGGTCACCTCTCATTTCTCTGTACTTGCTGGCAACAGGCAGTCCAGGTTTTGCAGAAGGACGTGTGCACAGACGCATTGAACTTGCTTTGGGGTGATGGATCATTTGGTAGGACAGAGTGGGAAGCACAAACTCAGAGACGAGGGGTTGGAGGGGTCCTGAGGCAGTCTCTCAGAACAGAAGACAGGAAAATTTTCCTTTTTACCAGACAGTTTGAAGCCCCACTTCTAAATGCTGCCAGGTCACTACGTTACCTAAGGTCAGTCTCAGGCAGGAACGAGTTCATTGGGAATATGGCAAATTGCTATTGATATACGAGCCAGGGTTTGCTCAGCAGTATTTTCTCAATGAACACACTGGCTCCAACAGGCAGCAACAGACCCTCCTTCAGTCTGCATTTCTATCTCCTACACCACCAAGACTCTAGTAATTAAGCCCTTTACATTTCTCTGTGAGACTCTATAAGATGAACTCACCCGGTTGCAGAAGCCATGATGCAGCCTCCATCTTCTGCAGGGGTAGTACAGCAGCCAGCTGAATCATGATTCATGCCAAAATTGTGTCCCATCTCATGGGCAATGGTAGCAGCAACACCAATGGCATTATCAGAGTGATCCTGTGCAAGGCCAAAGAGGCACATCAGCATTTTACCTGTGCTTGTCCTGTGCACCCCCGAGTCAACGGGGTAGGTGGCACTCCTTATTACTACATGTAGAAAACATCTGCTGAAGGTGTTCCCACCTATGAGCCCATGAGCTAGAGGAGTTCCCAGGAATATTTTCTTCCTGGGCTTTAGGAGGCATCTATCCTACATATTGACTGCTGGCAAGTAACATCATATAAGATATTAACAATTACTTACCATGTTTACTCCTCCTGACTGGAAATCAGAGCACATGGCCATCACGGAAGCCAAGCCTACTGTGGTACCTTGGAAGGGCACACCCCTAAAATCAATCCAGAAAGACCATGAAATGGCACCAAGACACTTGAGAAGGCACGGCAGAGAAACGCATCCTGCAGTCCACAGCTTTGTACACATAGTGTGTCAGGTGAATACATTTTCTTTAGTAATATCTTGAAGTACAGAACATTATAGCAGAGCTACAAAGCCTTAAGACCTATTTTTCTTGGACTACTACTTCATTTTATGGGCCAACCAGCCAATCTTATTTTTTATAATGGTTTGGTGCCAAAAAGTGCTCCCGCTGAGCTTTGCAACAAGCACAGGAAAGACTATTTCTGGATCCTCCTGGGTACTGTTTTGAATACTTAATTTTATCTTTTGCCTGCTATTTGCTGGCTTGGCATTCAGGAACTTGACAGAGTACTACACAACACCTTGGAGGTGCAGCCACGCTCGGCTCCTGCCTGCTGAGCTGAAATTCTGCACTGTCCCTGTCAGCATGTCTGAAATGGGAGCCTTGGAAATTGTGCTCAGGACATGACTAGGTGAAAGTGAAATACAGTAATGTTAAAGGGGAAAAAAACAACAACAACAAAAACCAAACAAACAAAAAACAAAAAACAAACCAAGGGAAAAGGCATTGCATTTCCGCATTTCAGTCCTACAGGTTTCTTCTCTGACTCACCACTATTTACTGGTGGATGAATTACCATGGGAGAGGAAAAGAGGTCTAAGAGTTGCTGCAAATTTTTCTTCCAATGACATCTGTGTTTCTGACAGTATGGCCAGAAATTAGCTACTGGCCCTAATGAGATTGGTAGGATGAGTCACAGATCATCAGCCAGCTCCCAGCACCACATCCTGTGTCTCAGAGGGATGAGTTAGGAACAAATGGCTTCTTCAAAGGGCTTAGCTCCCCTCTACAGGTCTTGCTTATGGTTCAGATTTTCTTAAAATTGTACATGTAGCTGTGATAGATCATGTGCAGCTGCCTCTGACATGCAAACACAATCAAGTTGATGCACTTTAGTGCTTGTGTATTGAGACTGTTGCATAGGCTGTGATCTCCACCTTTCCTAAGGTGATTGTGCTCTGGGTGCCAGAGCTTAGCACTGGCTGAGCAGCCTCTACATAAATCTGCCACTCTGAATCTTAGAATGACATAATCTCACATACTGATTTCTCATCCACCCAAAGTACTAGTCAGAAACAGGTTGTTTCAGGAGAAATAAACCTACGTGACTAGCTGGGCATTATCGTGTTTTCTGTGCACCCGCTCCTTGCTACTCCAAGCCAAAAAGGACTTCAGGGTGGAGTAGGGGTTCTCAGTTACTTCACATTTATTCCAGTTACTCCAGATCTCCAGCCCCACCAAGGCAATCCGGATATTCAGAGATCTGTAAAACTAAGTTACAGGAAGGAAAAGAGATGACAAAATGAGCACCATTAATTTATTTTACTGTCGTTTAAAACTTGTATATAAACCCTGCTAAATGCTACTACAGATACACACGTCCAGAGAGGATGTTCTCTCTGGAAATGCATTTCAACTTAGCGCCACATCTCTGCAGAGAGAAATGTGCAACACCCACAAACCTAAACTCAATCGAACTAGAGATGCTGAACCTTCATTTTTAAATGAATGATAGAGAAATAATCTAGGAAAACAAAGACTGGAGACTGAGACCGTGTTTATCTTTAGATACACCAAAATTCCTGAAAATAAGAAGGAAATAATCTGTTGCCCGTGTCAAGTACAATCATGACAAATGCTCATGGACGAGGTGGCGAAGGGAGTGGTGGAAGGAGTTTAAAGGGAGAATGGGAGTATGAAGGGAGTAGATCTAAAAAGTTGTGACATTTACTTCAGCAGCAGAGGGTACCGCTGCAAGGACGACCTCTGAAGGCTTCTTCCACCTCTACTTGCCAAGATTTCTACAATTTGAAATTAATATCTTAGTCTTTTGTCAAAAAGCAGTATTTAGGTAACACAGTTAATACAGAGATGTATCAAAACACAGAGATGCTCATGCTGGCTCCAAGATAAGGAATGGAGATTCCACGACTCTGCCTCTGATGTCCAACAACAGAATTGTTTGTCAGATGCTCTCCACTTCACAAGTCACTGGGGAGAACTGTTAAAACATTATTCTCTCTCCCAAGAAGGCAGTCTTCCTCTGTCACAATTAATTATCCCAATTCATGATTTGGACTTTGCTTCCCTCAGTTCACGCACACCTGTTCTCACCTTATCGACGTAATTAGCAGCCTCCACTAATTTAAGCCTTGTTGCTTCAATGTTGAAGTGATGTTTCTGAAACTGAACAAAATGAACATGTCAGACAGCACAAAGGCAACTAGGAAGAGCTGAAATGTATTAAAGCAAGTCACATCCCTCTGGGAATAAGAAAGTAACTATCAGATGAAGCCCAAAAACTTTCCTTCACTGTACATCTGACTATAAGCCCACCCATACATGTATATTCAGAATTCATTCCTGGCATCCCACAGCAGTGATGTTACTCAAGAGGTGGTAGTAACTCAGTGAAGCAACCCAAGATTATCAGAGCCCTCAGAGCCAGGGACTGACAAAGAACTGACAAATTTTTCAAGTAAAATATATGGTAACATGACTTCAGGTCTGAGGCTGCCAAAGCAATCGTCCCATCTCATTCATCTCATCCAACGTGTTTGTCTATTTAAACTACGTGGCAATTAACAAGTTAATTTTAGAAAACTGTTTGATTCAAGGAATTAAAGTTGCAAAATGTTTAGGCTTTTGTTTAACAGACAACAAAACCTGGGACTTTTCTTCTATTGAGGGGGACAGTAAATGCGTAAGGGCAGTTAATGACAACACTGCATGGGTGTCTCTTCTAGTTTGTCTAAAGAAACGGTGAACAACATATGGCAGTTCCTGGGTGTAATGTGTTTTCTCATAGTTTCCTGATATCCTGCTGCCTAATAGAGAAGGTTGAAATAGGTTCTGCCTCTTTAGTTTTGTTCTGAATAAATTATAGCCCAGAGCACTACGTGGCTTTCACTATTGGAGTTTCAAGTTGTAAATAATAAATAGCACCAGCCTGACTCCTGTCTGTGCTGGAGATTAGATGATCAGCAGAACATTGCGTGGTTTGCACTGTCAGTAAGTATGTCTGGCGTGCTGTCCAGGCTGCGGATGGGGGAGAGATTGCTGACTTCGCTGGGTCTCTTCCAGCCCTGTTCTATCATCTAGAGCCTTGAAAACGTCTATTTATATATTTGCTACCATCTCAGAGCAGAGGATAATCATGGTTATCTTCTCTAGAGATTAAATGTACTGCAGAGTTACAAGCACATCACTCCTAGAAACCCCCAAGTCACCTTAGGCTGAAGGCAGTCTCTCCCATTAATAATGAGGGCACATCACTGGTACATTGGGAGGCAAGCACTGACTCCCAACCCTAGTCCTTCAACCAAATCACAACCTGCATCTCTCCTCTGGCCAGCATTGACTGACAGTGATAGCAGAGGAGTTATGGCTGCTAGGACAAAAGTGACCAAGACACAGCTCTCCCTGTCTGCTGGTGGGGACAGGACCATTGGGATGGCAAGAGGAAAACTGTTGAGCTCCAGCTTCCCTCCCTGCCCCAAGAGATGCTGCAGGTGGGATGCTCACTCTGAGCCTGGTGCTCAGGTGGTATAAACATGATCCCTTTTCTTACCTCTGCATAATCCGCCACAAGCAGAAGCTCCACGTACTTTGTAGACTGCAGAGTTTCCCGTTTCACCTGCGGCAGCAGCAACACAGGTTATTTCCCCAATATCCCCCAAGAAACTATCCGCAAAACATACGTACAGGCCATTTTTCCCCAGTTTGTTTTTCACTGGCCATTCACCGCATCCCATCGCACACAGGGACCTCCAAATGCGATTGACTTCTAGCAACCAGGTATCACCAGTCAGCTTAGCTACAGCAAGTGCCCATGAGCCTGTCCTCAGCACATTCATTTGTTCATGTATCGGATGCACAAATCTGTGCATGAACAACTACAGCCCAGATTCCTCATGCTACATGATGGTCCCCAACACTCTTTTTTTTCCCCGCTGGAGCTGCTATTTGGCAACCAGCTTGCTACAAACCTTCTTAAATATTCTCCTTCATTTGACTTGCTGAACTATGCTCCCAGAGAACAACAGGCTCTGTGGGCTTGGAACGGGTGGGAAATTTGAAGCATCACGCATGGACCCAGTTTGAGCCCTGCATACCCTCTGGCGAGGTAGTTTCATCCCAGTTGTGAAGTCCCTGAGCAAGTCTTTGGCTGCGTCCCCAGTGCCCTGGTAGCCACAGGCTCCTCTCTGCAACCTCAGGTCATCCACCCTGTAGATCAAGTGCTGATTTGGGCTGTCGGGAACCGGCTCTAAGATATAGCTGGAATTGCTGCTCAATACAATAAGTCCTCTGTTGAAACAGGAAGCAATAAGAGGGAAAGTTAATTGCTATCATGCAACCGGAGACAAACCCTTCTTCTGCTGCTGAGGTCCCATCTGACCCTGGCAAGGCATTTATCCTTACCAGGCCATTCAGTTCATTAATAAAAAGGATGGGAACATTTTGAGTCCAGAGAGGGGAATCCCCAAACTTACATATATTAAAATCTATTCAGTGGGCTCAGGCATTCAATTAAGGGGCTACTGGAGCATGTGCTGCAATGATGCTAACCTGAGAAGTACTGTTTTTTTTTAAATACAGCTTTTTCTTTAGGGGCAGTGGAAGCTTTTCAACCAATCAAAGAAATTTGGCTTCAACAGAAGACCTAAAAAATGTGAAGACTTTGTCAACAGAAAAAAACCACAGTTCTCTCTGGGACTTGCACATGGTCATACGGTTCTGGTTTTCTCAACGAGCATGTTACAGCCAGGAGAGCTGGAAATCTCCTGTGTTTGATGGCCACTAGAAGATGTTTGGCTCGACAGGCAGCATGGCTCCCTGCAAAGGCTCAGAGCGAAAACAGCCGCACGCGTGCTCGGCTCATGTGCCTTCCTGGCAATTAGAAAACAATGCCGAGGAGCTGCCAGCTCAGCAGCGCAGGAATCCCACCACATGTGTACACCAAGGAGACATCTGTCTCCTCTGCAGCTAGGAAGGCAGATCCCAGGAAAAAGCAGGCTGACAGAAGCAAGGCACACTTGTGGCTACTTTTGCTTTTGGGTTATTTATTGCAAACCACAGGTGGCTGCACTGTCCTGTTTATCTCCCTGGGCTCTTTGGCCTGCGTTACATTCACTTAAGAAGTCTCGGGTTTGCTTTGGCATGGGCTGTTTCCTGGCTGGAGCTGGTCCCACCAGCACAGCTTCCAATCAGCGCTCGAGAGCAGATGACCACTAATATCAATAAAGCCCATGTGGCGTTTCGGAAACAAACTTTGAGCTGGTGTAAATGAACGCAGCTCCTCAGTCACAACAAGCCGTTTCATTTACTCCTGCCGAGGATACAGACCGTTTTCCTGCCAAAGACTCCATTACTACCAAAGTGAAGGTTTTAAATTCATAACACACACAACAACCCCGGCATCACCCAGGGAGAAAGCAGAGGGTGGGGCTGATAACCCAGGAGGAAGTTCAGACTTGAAGACTTTGCCCCAAAATGCGCACAAAAACTTGCCAGTTGTGAGAGACTGAGAGAAGGGGCTGGTTTCTGCATTAGTGTAGAGTATTGGGCTGGGACGTGGCGAGTCCTGTCCCTGTCGTTGTCCCTGTCCCTGTCTGGGATGCAGCCCTGAATCACTAACAAGAGAGTCTTTTGTTCCAGTGGACTCTCGAGGTAAACTCACTCATTGCACGAGTTCATGTTGCCAGAACAAAGAGGGAAGGAGTTCAGGAGCTGGCCAGGAGGCCGGGGTTACTAATGATACCCAAGTTTCTACATTTCCCCCGACACGCTCCCTTTTACGCTCAGGATCCTTGGCTGGGTGGCATTTGAGAACAGGTCTATCTGCCCATAAAGAAATAAGGCAAGCAGGCTGCTGGGGACCAGCGCTCGAGTGGCAGCAGGCTGAGGAGCTGAGCAGAGGCAAAACGGCCTCAGCGGGCACTTACCGCAGCCCTCTGCACGCGCTGAGCGTGACGCTGGAGTGCTCCCGGCCCCTCACGACCCCGTGGTAAAAGCAGTGGTCCTGGAAAGCAGAGGGGAGCAGGGTTGGCAATGCAGTTTCGGGATGGATGTATGCTATATTTAGGTATCACTGAGTCCCATGGGAGTGCTGCCAACACTCCAGTAATTGTTCTCTTTCCGCTGCATTTAGCAGCTGACTGCCATAACTAAATCTCTGTGAGTCTGCAGTGAAATTTGGCCTTTCAGCTGCCATACGTGGCCTCTGCGAACGCATCAAACGGCTCCTTGTTGCCAGTAAAAATTAAGAGCTTTGAATCCTCAAGGAAGCAACTCAAGCTGGCTGCAGCACTAAGGGCGATCCAAAGCTTTCTGCCTGTAACAGGAGCTGCCTATCGATGGCAGCTGGCCCTGGGTCAGGCCCCGAAGGACGTGCCTTCAGCCCCAAAGGACATGCCTTCAGCCCCAGCGAGGATGACGCCACGAGCAGTGGGGAAGTCCCCATCTGGGGGCTCCTGGCAAGACAAAGGCGGTCTCCGGCAGGGACAAGGAGGCTTTGGGGCAGGAGTGACAACATATTCATCACATCCCTTCCCCTCGCTGCGGGGCAGCATCAGTAAAGATGATCTCATGGGGTTTTTATCTCTTTATTTTTTGCAGCACAACCAATGCGCATCTTTGTGCCACTACTGCGGAGAGTCAGCCAAGGCCTGCGTGAGACCAGTAATTCATGGGATTTTTCCTGATCTGCAGCCAGCTTACACGGGCTGGTTTTCCCAAAGGCTGGGAATGTCCCCAGTGTAGAGAACCCAGTGGCAAAAGTAGAAGCAAGAGGTTGAGCAGTGGGAGGAATAAATGATTCCCCAGAACCCAGAGAGAGGAGAACAATACTGGCAGCTGACCTTGGCTCTCTTAACAGAGCTCGGGCAAAACTCTAAGACATTTTTACTTTTGCTGGGGGATGGAGACACTTTCTTGCTGGAACTCCCCAGGTCAGAAAGTCAAACCGCCCTTCCCTTCAGCTTAAAGTAGAGCCATGGCCTGGAAGAAAGGCTCTGAAGGAAGAAGGTCGCCCGCTCCTCTGGGCCCCCTGCCTGGTCTCCCCTGCACGCTGCAGGAGGGAAAGGGTCTCTGCACTCACCGTGTGGGTCAGAGAGGTGGTCTGGGGTTGTCCAGTTTGGTTGTAATGAGTCTCCGTGTAGCCTGGTGCAAAGAGGTTTCTGCAGACACAGGAGGGGGAAGGAAAAGAAAAAAAAAAAGACAATAAGACCTTTCTTTAGACCTGGATTTCTGCTTCCTAGGTGTGCTAGAAAATCAGCCAGATCCTGCTCTTTCTGAGGTCAGCGCAAATATTCCTGTAGCTGCAAACCACTGTTGTGGACTTGGGGCGGTCGCTATTTGCTACCTGTAATGCAAAAACAACCTCAGCACACAGAGAGGGCAGGCAGGAGACAGGTATTGGGGGACACCAGCTGTGCTGTGTCTCTGCACTCGGCTCAGGACCGGCACTCTCCATCTGCGAGGCACTTGATAACACGCCGTCCCCAGGGAGGCAGCGGCTGATGGTGCTGGCACAGGAGCCATCAGAGCCGCTCCAGGACCAGCACCGCAGGCTGTGCTTCCCTGTGCAGAGTGCACTGGGATGGCAGAGGGTCAGAAGGTGGAAGCATGGTTGACCCTGTCACCATCCATCTGCTGCCTGGGCAGGAGCTGAGTGAGCACTTCTTGTGGAGCACACCCACTTCTGAAAGAGTGCAGTGACCCATCTTCCTAAGTGCTCTTTTAAGACATTTATTGAATTAAAACAATAAAGGAAAGCCCGTCACTGAGTTTGAGTAGGTGCCAAGATCCAGTTCCAATAGCTGCAAGTGAACAATTCAATTTTTACACAAGGACTTAAAAAAAACCTGGAAACTCATCATCATCATCCTGCCTTAATGGGTGTGAGTCTCTAAGCAGAGTTTCCTTTACTACTGCAAAGTTATGCCCCAGATATACTAAGTTTAGGTTCAGTGCACCAAGTCCAGCACAGCAAGCACACGAAAGGCCAGTTCAGGACACATCTGGGCACTGGAGTGAGTTCTCAGCTCAAATCCAGACTCTCTCCAGTGCTCAAATCTGAGCATAATTATAAACCAATCTGCATCTGCATTTCAACTTCTGCCTAGAAGCCAATTCACATCTTTGTGCTGGGAAAATGCTGATTCCCTAATTTGAATTTGTTTGTGTCATGCTCATATAGACAATATTCTCCCTGTCTTCAGACCAGGATCAGACCAAAAGTCTATAAAAGGCGCTCCTGTACACTGAATGGTAAGCGTTTTGATTTGGTTCCAGAGGAAACAGCCTTCCCCTTCTTTTTAAACATCTGCATTTGCAAAACAGTGGTGTAAAAAAGTACAGCGAGTCAAGATCTGGGCCAAACCAAGAAGGTCATATCCTGTGTCCATCTCAGCAGCAGTAAAATGTAGGTTTAAAAGAGTTTTTTAAACAATGGCCTCACTTCCAAAAATTTGGAGAAGGATCACAGAACACACCCCATCTATGAAACGCACTTCTGCAGCAACCCCGCAGTGCTGTCGGGCCACTGACATGCCACGAGGATGCCACGTGCATCCTGGGCAGTGCGACACCGGCAACACTGCAGCTCAGTCCTTCCACATCCCCGTTCGATGCATTTCATGCACCAGAGTTTTGAACTATGACCTGCAAGAAAGAAAAAGTTTTCTTCTTTTCTGTGCTTGATTTCTTTAGGCTGGATGAAGAAAGCTGTATCAGAAGCAAAACTAAAGATTTTTCCATCTGCTTTTGGTTCTGGTATGTGTCAGTCAGGTCTAAACTACCTTAAAGGCTTCCCTGTTTGAATAAGGGATTGGGTGCTGACGATAACTAATTAAATTAGGCCAGAGCAACAAGAAACATCTTTTATCAGAGCGTTTGAAAGCGCTTCCCCCATTTAGCATCCAAAGGCTCAGACACCTGAACAAGTAAGGATGGCTTAGTGTCAAACCAAACCGTGTGCCACTGTTGTATTCGACAGCATTTGATGTCAGGAATACAAGAGTTTTTATTTCCACTTTCAAAGTTCACTGTAGCCCAGGAAAGCTCATTTTGTTTCTTTCTGATGTGTTAATTCTCATCACTAGATCTTGTCAGTGATCAGAAGGCAAGATTGCTGTGTTCAGCTATCCCGGGTCTGGAAACCGAAGATAAGAAGCACCGTCCCACAGAAAATCACTCCCTTCATCTCTCTGACTGCAGTAGCTTGCTCAGCATGAGGCTGCAAGAAACAAATGTTTAATCAACAGATCGCATTAACTCACAGGAAATTGCCTTGAGCAATGTGCTCTGGCAGGTATCTGCTCTGTGTAAGACTGTCATCTCGAGAGCAGACAGTAAACCAGTCTGCATCCGCCCAGTGCTACTAAAGCCAGCCCATGGATTTCCAGTAGCTGAGGCTTGCACAGCCTACTTGTCTCATTCCCAAACAAGCACGCTTGTGTTTTCTTCCCGCTCCTTTATTCTTGGAAAGCATTCACCATGAACAGCTATTTTCTCTCTTCTCCAGCATCTACCATAAAACTCCTCAGTGCTTTGGCTCCCGCCCGGCCCCCAGTGCTGCCGCCCAGCCACGGTGCTGAGCTCCAGAGCCCAACACACCAAGTTTCAGGGCACAGGATGATGCCCCACAACACATGGGGTGTGTGCACATCTCTTCCTACCTGCAGATTCAGGCTCTGCCACCTTCTAGGGTGGATTAAGGAGCTAAGAGGTCTGCCTGAATTTCTAGGGTCACTTACGCAGCTGCTGAGCTGAAAGCATGCATCGTCTGGCTGACTGGTGCCATGTTATGACTTTCAAGCCTCTCTCCACCACTTGACTCCTATCCTACATTGCAGGCACCCTATGCATGGTCCAGCTTCTTGTTCTGTGCTGAAACAGTCCTCTTTTGAAGACGCTTCCCTGCCTTAAAGCGGGGGAGCCTGGGGGCTCCTGCAGCACCGCAGAGAAGGGCTGTCAGGGCATCGCGCGGTGTGCGGTGGGGAGGGCAGCGAGGAAAGAGGAAAAACAACAGGATGTCTTGCAACACCCCTGGGGTGCTATCGCACTTCAGAGCCTGTGAAAGCTCATTCCCAGCCCAGCTCACTTCCTCAGCTAGCATCCAGCCTTCCATCAAACCGTAAATAAATAGGAAAGAAGCCTTCTTTCCATCACAGAGCACACCAAATTTATCAGCCAGTCTCATCCCTCTTCTCCACATGTACCAGTTGTTGGATTAGTTGGTGAGATTAGTGAGACACATGTACCCCAAAACCTTAGCAGTGGCCTTTATCTGCCATTGTTTCAGGACAGTATCACCACCAGGCTGAAGCGCTGGTTCCAGGGGAGCTCAGCCCTGCAAAACACTAACGGATCTGATTCACCTTTGCCAGAGGTGGAAAGCCTGAAAGTCACAACACAATTCCATCCTTTCTGCTCTGTTACATTATGTGTCTCAGTGACTACCTCTCCAGCAGCTCAAGATGAAGCTGCAAAATTTTGGATGCAAAATAACATCATTTAAAGGCTTCTGAGATCCAGTCAGGCAGCTGACAGATTGCTAGCACACATCATCTTCCTAAAAGGCAGCATGGAGTCCCTCATTAGAGGAGTTATCAGCATGAAGAATTGATGAAGTCAGAGGAAAAGCTCATTTTGGATGGGAGCACTCTCCTGTGCTAAACCTTGATCACGGCTGCAGCCACGTGGGGCTGTTTGAGGCCAGGGTAAGCTACACATGGGTGCTCAGGATGTTCTAAAGAAGCCCTCACACCTTTCCAACAGCAACAGGCTTCGGCAAGATCAGTCGCTCCCCAGGATCCAGCTCAGTGTCCAGCTCAGGGTGGAATAGCCAGCTCTTGGCAGGATTTGTTCCCCAGAAAGCCTTGGGAGCCGGGTTAAATACAAGCGAGGAAGCCAAACGAAGGAAGAGTGGCTCAGTGCCATAACGTACAGATGGCTTGAGACTGTTTCTGCTGATGACCGACATGGAGCAATCTTGGTCCCACTCCAGCCTGTCAATGATATCATTGTTTGAAACAAAACTCTCCTCCTGCCGCTGTGCTGCTCCCTGGAAGGGCCCTGCGGCACGGAGCTGACGTTGTCGGGCAGCGTGGCTGGTGTGCCACATCGAGTCCCGGTGCCAGAGAGGTCACGTACTTCGCACGTGAGCCAAGGATATTCAGTGGGAGAGGCAGGCTGAGGGCGCGGGGCAGAACCCAGCTTTCTCAGGGGGCAGATGCCCCGTGGCACTCGGGGACAGTGCAAGAACATGGCCTCCAGCTCATCTGGCCACCGCAGCTGGGGAGAGAAGGGCAACATGGCACACCCAGACGCTCCTAAAAACAGCAGGAGGGAAGCTGGGGCCTTTCTCACACGACCATGTTCATTTGAGGGCGTGTGCTTTTCCCAGCTGCTCTGGAGAACCTCACCCCTATTTTCCTAACAAATGGGAGCAGTTTTCTCTCGCCTGTGAAACATCACTGCTAGCACAAGCCTCAGAGGGGCTTGGAGTCCCCTATCCGGGAGGATCACCATGAAGATGCTCAGCTCCACCAGCCAGAGATCACCCATCGGCACTGGGAGGGCCCTGGAGGCACAATACTGCTCTTGCTAATTGGAGCAAGAAGTAATTTTTTTTTTTTTTTTAATAATTCAGTCCCATTAGCATCTTTGTTTGGGTTCATTTTACAGAGGGGCTAGTCTGCATGAACAGCTGCCAATTTAAAAACACCCATGAGTATCTAAGAGACACACATTTTTTTTATTTCTTCCTAAAAACCAAAAGCTAAATGGTCCATGAAGCTCTCATGAGAAACATTGATTCTTAATTTTTCAATTGTGGGACCAAGAAAAGTGAAGTCTGCAATTTCTTACATCTCTTGCCCGGTCCTTTTCCTCAAATCACAATAAATCTGTCCAGCCAGGCTGCCAGGATCTGGGGGTGGAGGGAACTGATTCTCCCAAGAAAGTTTAGACATCAGATTTCCATTTACAATTTGTGGTCCCACTCCATAGCCTTTCAACAGGACCCAAGTAGGATAAGAAGGGGAATTTGATCCCTTACCTCCCAGACACTTAAGTGTTCCCTAAAGTCAGAATTTATTATCAAAACCTGAGGTGACCTGATCTTGAACCCCACCAATACATGACACCAGACAAGACAAGAAGGCAGGCCTGCTTTCTGTATCCACCACTAGTGGGAAATTGGAGATTTCATCTCTCTGGAATCCTCCAGCCAAAATCTGGCACTTCATTAAATCCCTGAAATCCAAAATTTTTTTCTTAGTGTTGGTGAGTCTCATCCAGACAAAGCCTGGAGCTCTTAAGCTCACTTCCTCAAGAGCCTTTGCTTATATATGAGAACACATTCATTGTGGAAAGAGCAGCAGTTTGGAAGGAAGAAGTAGCTTCTCGGTTACTGAGATGGAACTAAACTAGCTGTTTGAAAGGCCAAGGAAAATATCCCAAGCTAAAGACTCTCCATCCCCTTTTGCCATCCACATCATCAGTGACATTCACTGTGTAAATCACATTACAGGACACAAGCAAAATTTATCACATAGCCCCTTGGCTTACCAATGGGAACCATAAAAGTAGCCTGGAGAGGAAAAAGGAAATAAAATAAATTTGAAACTGGCTGATAATGAGTCAGGGAGCAAAAGATTTAAAGGGCTCCGTTTCCTCGTCTCTTCTTCCCTGCCGCGAACACAGAGAAATCACCGAATATCCCCAGGGAATCGGGAGGTTGAAAAGCAGCTAGGGCTTTCCAAGTCCCAACCCTGTTTTTCTGATGACTCCAAGAGACAGTAGAGCAGGATAAACTCAATTTCCCTCCTTTACGTAACCTTTACCCCCTCCCCATGCAGGAAGCCCATTAGACACTGATGATGTGTAGCCCATCACTGGAATAATCTCATATATCCTTCCTGCTTGGAGGCAGGCAGCAAACTCCCCTCTCCCTCACTCAGTTGGTAGAAGAGGCCCTGAAAATGAGCAAAAGCAGGAAACGGTGAAATACAAGTGACACGCAGATCTTTATCGCACTGCTGAGAGCGTTGAGCGGGGCTGGAGTGCTCGTCACCTGCCCAGGTGGGGCCAGAAGAGACTGGAAATGATACTGCTCCCTATCAGATCCAGTTGCCTAAAAATAACTCCCTGGATCTCTCCTGAGGTCAGACCAGATGAGCTTTGGACTTTCTTGGCAAAGAAAGCCAGTTGCTGCACACCTCCCCTGGGGCTCTGCCACTGAGTGCCCCACGCCACCGTGGCTGCTGTGGGCAGGCAGCAGCTAAAACACACGGCCACGCCCCACGATGCCCACGGGATTCACTCGCAGGCAGGGACATCCCCTGGAGACGGTGACTTCTCCTGGAGAAGCCTCCACTGCCCCTTGCAGCTGAGTGGACCTTCCCAAGACTGCTCTCCCCATATGACACACAAAGAGGAGGAGAAGAAGAGGGAGGAAAGTCTTGTTCATACTTTTCCTGCACTCAGGTGAGATGACAAATTCCACGCAGGTTTCTGCTGTGCAAGTATGAGCTCTCCCCTTCGCTGGAAAGAAAAGGCTCTCACCAAGCAGTGCTGCCACACACATTCACAGTGTCTCAGCGTCCCCTCCCTGCTTGGCTGAAAGCTGCTTTTTATTAACAAATGCAAATGCCTTTTGAAAAAGTCACTTTTCATCCAAGGTTTGCAACTCGGATTCTTCCGTTCCTAAGCCTCAGCCAATTTTAAAGCTGCTTTACAGGCATCTCTCCATATATTTGTTGTTTGTGCAACTTTGAGCTTTCCAATCCCGCAGCTGCAGGACATGGTTTTGAGTCACTTAAAAGAAGGCTGAGTCGTTTGGGGGATATACTTTTGTTGTTATTGAGAAACATTGACTAGAGTTGTGAACTCTGCTTGGAACTACAGTGTGGTTCCGCCTTCTTATCAAACTCCTGAACAGGAAATAATGCAATATTATGTTAACTGCTAATGCAATCATTGTATTTGTAGATATATGAAGCCCAAACTCAGATGTACGTTGAGCTTATTACAAAATACAGAGTTGTGCACAGTTCTGAAGAAAGATATGCAGTAAATTCTGTGTTTCACTCTGTGGATGAACACAATGTCCTTTTCATATGGAATACGAAATCACAGGCTTGGTGAAAGTTTCTTCCACATATTGAAAACAGCACTTCTTTCAAAGCTAGTGCATCCCTACCAAAGCCGTGCAGACTATGGCTTTTTCTCCCCCCTTTCAAAGCAAGCTCATATTCTCATCAGCCTTGTCTCTCCACGAGGAGAGTGGTGAATGCTAACAAGTCTGCCTAATCCACTGAGAACATCACTTACAACAGTTTCACTAGCTTGGTATATCTCCTTTCTAGCTTTGAGAACCATTGCGTAAATTATATCCCAACCAGACCCAAACTATTTCATGCTTTCTTTGAGTGGTGGGAGTCTGGAATACGGATGTGAGAGTGAAACGGGAGCCAGGCGGGTGCATTTGCACCCCTGTGCTGAGCCCAGGGGCAGAGGGGGAGCAGAGCACCAACCTCAGAAGCAAAGCTGGTTTCCAGAGGCTGGTTTCTAAACCATATCAATTCAATGACCCAGAACTCTAGGGCTTATTTTAATTTAAAAAGTCCCATGCTACTTCCTTAAAGTTGGAGTTCTGTTATACTCTTTCATGTGAATTCAAAATCAGGAGCAGCCAGGTTTCAGACAGCTTTGAAGGGACACTTCCCACTTGGGGAATTTCACCTTCTCTCCCACTGTCTGGGTGCCCAACAAACCCTTCAAAGAAGAAGTCTCTGATGCTGCAACTACTCAGTACCTCAAACCTCAGCTAGAACCTCAGGCTCCGCTGTAGGATAAGCAATAGCAGTGGTGATGGGTTCTGGGGAGCAACCCCAGGCTGGGAACCCGAGGAGCCAGGCTGGACTCTGCCTTGCTTCACACTTTGACAAGAAGTAGTTTGCCTCCACTTAGAAGGGTTCTATGGACGCTGATAATTACAGCATCCACAGGGCTCCCAGGGACTCCATGGTTTTGTTTGCTTCATCATTTCTCTTTTGAGTGTCTCTAAACTACTTGTGCATCTTCACAAGTCTCTGAAAAGTGGTGGCTCTCCAGAGGCTCCCATCTAATCAAGTTCAGACTTGCAATTTGGGATTGTGCCATCACCTTTCTTGAACAAGGACTTGAGGCCTGGCGAGACTCCCACGTGAAGCACTGCTATCTATGAATCACTTGCATTTTCTACAGAACAAAAATAAAACACTCCAAACCACTTGCTATATTTCATCAGTCCTAGTAAGGTGATTCATCTCACGGTGGAAGTGTTTGTGCACACTTAAGCCTGTGTGTATACATCTCAATCAATGAAAACAGATTTCAGGAAATAAACACAATAGAAACCTTCTATTATTACAATTCTGTTTACTAACACCAGCAATGAGTTTGTCTGCAGTGGAAATAGCTCCTGCAAGGCACCTGGAGGTTACATCATCATGCCCAGAGCACAAACGGATTCGTTCAGCAAGGAGCCTTGCTCTTGCCAGCTTCTACTGTGTCAGGAATAAATCCACCTTTGCATAGTGATTGCAGAATAAGCAAGACTTGACACGAGGAGGGAGACCCCCCAGCAGCATTAGCAGTTACGTTGCCTCCAGCTTCAGATCAGAGACTGGCATTGCTGACCACTGGTGTCAGCAACAGCTACTTTTCCTGCATTAGACAGGACTGAGATAGCCGTGCTTACGGTGCCTGGTTTCTTTTGCCACCTCTCTATTTTCCCAGCTGAGAGATGCCAAAACACACAGAATTTATAGCTGTTTCTGTTTAGCTCTACACAGGTGCATGACTGCCTGGGAAACGTGTCCGATTTTTGCAGCTCTGAACCTTTCAGTAGCTTATGTGGCCTATTACAGAAAACACCTCGTAGGATGTACTCGCCCTTCATCAGCCACCAGATTTCAGTCTTTACTGCAGACAGTGCCAAGAAAAATCTGGTTTTCCTCCAAAACACCCTGAATATCATTTAGGTTTATGCACTGCCATCAGAACTAATAAGATCTTCTGACACTCCACTCTTTCAGGAGGAAAGCTGAGCCCCCAAGCTCTGTGGTTGGGATGTCCATACAAGACATTTAAAATATAATCAGGGTCATTTTTCCAAGGTTATTATTCCTACTGATTCTAGTAGGCAAACACGTGCTTGTGTTGCCATAGACAAATCTTCAGACCCACTTAAAAATAAATAAAACACCAACAGTGAGTGAAAGTGAACTGCTTAGCAAAAACAAGCTTCTCGCAGCTAAATTTCCAGCTGCTGTTGCACCATTGGAAACTAATGTACTCACAGGGCGGAGAGCCTCTGGAGCTGCCTCTAGATCAGAATCCTTCTACCTACCTAATCTCCTGCAGCTTCAGCTGATATATCACACAGCATTGCTGTATCATGCCTGGGAGGCGGTTGCATTTCAGTTAATGCAAAAGCATTTTTTCAGTCTACTTTAGCATGAAGGCCACTAATGGAATTGAAACTGTCAGATCATTTGTCCTAGGAAACGGAGCAGGACCTCTTCGGATCACAGCAAATGAAATCCTCATCAGAGTCACGCTGACTTGAAAACATTGAGCCATTTGGTAAATATGTGGCTGTTCATACCAGCAACATTTTCTAGTTAAAGTTGTAAGAATTATGATGCAAAAATAAGTTTACACACTGAAGGCCAGGTCAATATCTGCTTTTTGCTGACAAAGTGCTGTTACAGTCAGCACTGCTTGACTGATTAACATCGGTGGGGACTCAGACCTGAAATAACCTTGAAATCCAGAAAAGAACTTCCTCATCCTGTCTTTATCAAAACCCTGTTGAAGTCAGTAGAGGTTTTCCTGTTGACTTCACTGTAATCCTTATTCATTATTTCAGTGAGATCACAAGTCAGAATGGAATGCACAAGCACACTTACCCATTTTTCTCCAATTCCAAGATGAGCTCCTGGCCTTCTGCTTTTACCTTAACTTCAGCTCTGAACGGATGCTGCGTGCAAAAGAGATGGTGCCTGTTACTCATACATCATCATAATTATGAACACACCCAGAAACACAAATTGTTCCCCCGGAAATTGCAGCTGACCTTAAACCACTCCTCACCTTCCTCCTACCTTCAGACCTGGAGTGCTGGGGAAGGGAAGGGACAGGCCACAGTGGCTCCCAGCTCCAGGCATGCTGCTGCATCCCCATGGCACAGCCATGCAGGGTCGGGAAGCAGTACAGGTGGGATACCGTGTCTGAGCTCAGAAGAAATAACAGCTCAGACAAGGCAATAAGTCCTGGTGCTGGAGGGCTTGGAGGTGAAGCTGGGTGGGAGGGGTGCACTGCACCCCCTTCTCTACACTGTGCTCGGGACCACATCACAAGGCATCCTAACTTGTCGCAGAGGTTTACAAGTCAAATATATAAGCTAGTCAACAAAGCTTCCTTTGTCATCACAGCAGAAAAAAACATCTTTAAGAGCCTATTTCAGGACAGGAGGAATCATGCCTCTTCCAGAGATTTTCAGATAGTTCCTTTACTTGCAGAAAATGACAGTAAAAGGCATGCAACAGGGTCCCTTAGACATCTTTAGGCTCTAGCTGTTGTTCAGACAGCATTTCACAGCTGCTTTTATATTAGTCCCAGGCTGCAAGGGACTGGAAACCATGACAGCAACTTTCTAATGTGTTCAAGCACATGGGCGCAGCCCTGGTTTGCAATCTGCCTACAGCTCCGAACGGCAACACGGGACAGCCAGCTCTCCAAAGCCTACTGGGGTTAACAGAAAGCACCCAAATTTCTCAGCACAATGGCAAATGCATCCACTTAAACCAAAATTTAAAAAAAAAAAACAAACAAAACATTCAAGAGACTGAAAGTATAGAATACGCTTTCTAAAGAACCAACTAGGAGGGTCTCTGGAGGTCTCCAGTTTTACCTCCCTCAAAGCAGGACCACAAGCTAAGGCCAGCTGGGGATTTCTGAGTCTGAGTGCTTTCTCATAAAGGAAATGGATGAATAAACTCCCTAGAAGACAAATAACCCATTGGAGAAGAACAGAATACTCTATTCTGCTGAAAGAAAAAAAAAATCATCATAAAAACTGATGAGATGATCAACCCATACAATTTTCGAACTCAGTGTTGGAGGGGATTTTGCAGAACGGATCAACTGAAAGCAAACTAAAGCAAGGCTGACTGAATAGGATATTCTGTGGAACGATCTGTTGGCCCAAAGACACGCTGTGGTACCGCTTCATCAATTCCCAGCTCAGTTACAAACTTCTCCTGTCATCGACTCCCTGCTCACACTCTGGGTTTTGTTCATCTTTCCTTCAGTTTCCAGGACATCACACCAGGCCCACACAGATGGTGCAAAACAAGTTAATACATTTAATATATACAACAGCAGCTAATTCCACGGGGCTGAGTTTAGTTTACTGAAGGAGCAGGTGCTCAGGGTAGGTCTGTTTTGCTAACATGTAAGCAATGGCGTCTGCCTGGCCCATAACTGGGGGGGTCTGAGGATTTTTTCATCAAGGTTGTGCAAACTTCATTGTCACTAATAACACTTTCCCTTCTCCTTCAATAATCCCACTACTTCACAGTCCATCAATTGCTGTGTAACTGAAATATCCCAGCTGTACATAAGCTTTGCTAACACTGGTTTTAGAGCCAACAGGAACTTGCCTGAAACAAACCAAGTACAACCCCTGAGACCCAGCAGATTTGTATAGGGGAAATGCTGTCCAGATGTATTTGTGTCACTATCAATAACAGAGAGAACCAAAACTTGCAGGCAGCACTACAAGGACATTTTAAAGAGAATTAAGATCATGACAGAGTCATTGTAGGGTTTTTTTTATACAACACAGTAAAAAGTTTTAGAGAGTCTCATCATACGGAGAGAGCACAAACCACAAAATAACGCCACTTACAGGGAGATGTATGATTTTTCTTTAGTATAATGCTGTGGCTTCCCTTTTTCTCATTCACAACATAAATATCATCTGGGTTTTCCTCTTTCATTAGACTACGCAACTGACAGCTTCTTGATTGTGGCAATGCAAATACTGGGAAATTGAACCACAGTTTGTGGCTAAGTTTAAGTCTGGCACCCCAGCAATTCTCAGAGCGGCTGTGGACTACTGACTCATCACTTCATCTGTCCACATACGAGAAGTGGAGTGAGACCTATCAATACATATGGTGTCTGAGACTGCTAGACGCACCTGAGCTGCTGGTTGGCTTTTCTCAGTGAAGCAACCTCACAGCTGGGTTTCATCTCCTCCTAAAGAAGACATCTCTATTCAGCTGTTCCCTAAATGCCACTGGTTGTATTGCCTCACTGCCCTTTTGCAGGCATATAGATCAAGTGGACTTCACCAAGGTTTTAAGTCATGACAGAAGGTAAACGACTACAAGCTTTTGCAGAGGGTGAAGGTCCCACGCTCAGTGCCTGAGATGTGCCACCCAGCTCGCCCAGCCTTTCTCGGGGTTCAGTGGAGCTGCAGCAGCTCCCCGCACTGCAGATGGGCTCCCTGGCTCATCCTTGCACCTTCTCACAGAGCTGTTTAAAAAAACCCCAAAGCGCACATCACAAGGTCCTGTGCTAATCACGACATCGTTCCTCCTCCTGGCAAAGAAAGATACAGGGGTTTGAAAACAAAACATAAATAAAGCGCTGGGCGCGACCTACCTTCTGTCTGCCAGGGCTGTCCAGGGCTGCCCAGCGCGGCACCACCACCTCGGGCTGCAGCTCCGCGCCGGCGGCGACGCCCACGCCTGGGGAGACACAAGAGGAGCCGCTCACGATCCCGACCCTCTCCGCACCCCCGGGAGTTAAAGAGCACGAAGCCGGGGCGGGAGACGAGAGCTCAGCGCCGGTTGTAGGAGAAGCTGGAGGATCCCCTCACCAAACCATCCATCCATCCATCCCTCCATCCATCCC